GTTGTGATCTCTGAAACGTTGAAACACCATCTCCAGTCTCTGTAAACTTTCTTCCTCAGTCTTACCAAAAACTAACAGATCATCCGGGTAACAGAGCAAACTCATAAAATTTTGATCACCGAAATTGGTCAGCATCATTCTCATGAACGTAGAGCCCTTGCGGTAAACGGTTGTACTCGTGCAAACCAAGAGGGGAACTGAAAGCTGTACATTTCTTATCCTGCTCATGTAAAGGAATGTTGTAGGTCCCAGATGTTAAATCCATGGTACAAAACAAAGCATTCCTCCCCCAACACCGCTAGAACGTCTGCTTGGTGAGGGAGAGGATGTGTGTCCTTCACCGTACAGGCGCTCAGCCACCGAAAGTCAGTGCACAACCGTAAATCACCGTTCTTCTTCCAAACTAACACTAACAGTGACGCAAACTCACTGGACGATTTCCTGATTATTTCCATCTGTTCCATCTCATCGAGCATCTCTCTCAATTTTTGATAGTGCGCCGGGGAAACTCTGCGATACGGTAACCGGAAGGGTCTGTCATCAGTCAACCGAATGTGGTGACAGAACCCCTTTGCTTCACCGCAATCCAACGAGTGCCTAGAAAAAACACACTCATATTTCTTTATCAGATCAATGAGCTTGCTTCTCCAGAAAGGCGACACCTCACAGTCATTTACAGGTGCATCTCAATAAATTAGAATGTCGTGGAAAAGTTCATTTATTTCAGTAATTCAACACAAATTGATGACAGAACCCCTTTGCTTCACCGCAATCCAACGAGTGCCTAGAGAAAACACACTCATAGTTCTTTATCAGATCAATAAGCTTGCTTCTCCAGAAAGTCGACACCTCACAGTCATTTAAGTTTAAGTCTTTGAGGCCCAGCTCATCCAAACGAATGTCACTGAAGTGCTTAGCACCAGACACTGAGCTCTTCGCTGATAAACTACCACAAGGACTGCCTTCTCCATTCTAATTTATTGAGATGCACCTGTAAGATTAAGTCTTTGAGGCCCAGCTCATCCAAACGAATATCACTGAGGTGCTTAGCACCAGACACTGAGCTCTCTGCTGATAAACTACCACAAGAACTGGCGCTACTCATGGCTACATTATGGAAAACTCTTTGTTCTTGCACATGATCGAAATCTTCCAAAGCAATGCATTCTTGCGGAGCACAATTTCAGAATTTGTTGGGTTTATCATTTTCACCGGGAGCCAACCGTCGCCCCCATAAAGGCGAGATCACTCTATCGATAAGCACATTACGATGGACGCAGCGAGAAGTACTAGGTTCAATCACAACTGTAGGTTGTGGGACACTAAATCTGAATCCATACACCTCAAGTTTCAGATCACACATACCTTCAGGACTAGTCTGCTTCCCACCGCACCCAACCAGGACAAAGTCTGCCGGGGGAAACAATTCCTGATCCAGGACTCCAGCTTTCTCTCAGTTGAGGTACCACATTGGCACTCAAAGTAGTTGCCATGGAGCCACTGTCCAGCATTCCCCTCAGACAAACTTTGTCATGTACCAAAACACTGGTATAAAAAAGACTGTCATTCTGCACTGACTGAATAGTATTTAGAAAAATAACAGTTTTATCTTTGTTTACATTCTCACAATAAAATTAATAAACCGACTCAACATCAGTGTCCAAGGAGGAACTTTCATTTTGCCCCACATTGCCCTCCCCCCAATGGAGGCTTTCTAATTTCCCTGAGGCGCGTCATCTCCTTGTCTGCCAGCGCTTTCCCTGGGCACAGTTTTCTCACAATTGAAGCTCATATGCCCAGACGAAAAACACTTAAAACAGAGATTATAAATCTTGCAGTGAGCAGTAGTACTGTGATCTTTGCTGTTACAAACTCTACATTCACGGCTGTTTGTTAGAATTCTTGGGCCAACCACCACGCACAGATTGTGCATTGCACACAAGAGCCTTTTCCAACATAGTCAGGACTTTGTCTAGAGTGCTATTATCGGTTGCTGGTGTGGCTGTTTCTGACCTATGAGGAGACAGAGAAGTTGAATCATCAATAGGCTCAAGAATTTTGGCTGTTTGTTGACACGCAACTCGCTTTGTCACTTTCTGTTCCCTAAGCATCTCATCCAATCTCTCTTGGACCTCAGAAGCTGTCCACGACTGTGCAGGTTTGCTTTTGAACACAAAAGACAGTTCCTTAGAACACAGCATCTACAGTCGGAGTAACCATTCTGTTGCTCAGACAGACCTTTATGATGTCGCTGGCCCTCCCCACTAGTCTGTTCATTACTTCTTCAACCCTTTCGGAGTCTACCACTTCTTTTTTGTTTACATACACTCGCATCAGTTCTTCCCACTCCATCATGGAACACTTGTCCGTACCATCTCCGCGATAATAAGGTGGTGCAGTTATCTCAGACTTCAGTACCAAATTTAACTTGGAAGCATCGATAATGGTTGCATTCGGCATCTTAGTGTCAGCAATGTTAGCGTTTTCTCCAAAACAACCACTAGATGGCAGACTTGAATGTCTAGTCTTATGTAACGCAATTCAGCAGCATACTGCATGTGTGATGGCGGCCATTACATGAATTCATGCTTCGATTAGACATACTTTTACAACGTTCATAACTTGGATTACTACTCTCTTAATAAAGAGAAGTTACCAAACAAACACATTTCGTGCAGAAAATCCATAAACAGTCATAAGTAATTAAACATATTTGAACACTTTTTTGAGGAGCTGATAAAACACACCTCTCATCGCAATGACATCCCGCGAAAGAGAGAGCGCCCGGAAATTACATCAGCTCTACCCTCGCGCTTACACACGACGCCTCTTGCATTAGTGCAATTAGTTAATAATAATAATTTCAATAATCTAGTGTAACAACATTACACTTGCCACATCTGGAGTATACAGAAGACTAGATAATGATCTGAAATATCATCACTCTGCTGCAGAATTCAATGCCATTGACATCAATTCTGTTTGATTTTTTCCATGTGCATTAAATCTAAAGTATGATTATGACAATGAGTAGGTCCTGACATGTGTGGTCTGACCCCAATAGAGTTCAGAATGTCTATAAATGCTGATCCCAATGCATCTTTTTCATTATCTACATGGATATTAAAATTGCCAACAATTAAGACTTTATCTGCAGCCAGCACTAGCTCAGATAGAAAATCAGCATATTCTTCAGTAAAGTCTGTATGGTGCCCTGTATACTGTAGCCAGCCCAGTACAAACGTCAGTAGGGATTTATCATTACCACTTATTACACTAGATGATGTTATATAAAGCACCATTACTTCAAACGAATTATACTTGAAACTGGACCTCTGAGAAATACTGAAAATACTGCTATAAACTGTAGCAACACCTCCCCCTTTACCTTTTGGACGCGGCTCATGTTTACATAACAGTACATTGGTGGGTAGACTCATTTAAAATAATGCAGTCATCTGGTTTTAGCCAGGTTTCTATCAAACAGAGCACATCTAGGTTATGATCTGTGATTATATAATTTACAAAAAGTTCTGGAACGTTTTTCATTTACTGTTTCTTGCTTGTGGAATGATCTTCCTAATCCAGCTGACTGCCTGAAAAGATTCATCTGAAAATTTGCCTCCTCACTTAACTGTATCCTGCTTCTTCTATGCTTTCACTATTCCTTAATACCTCCCTGTTCTAGCTTGTACTATTTTGAAAAACATCTGAAACTTTGTATGACTAGCACTTCTCATATTTATTGCTTCCCTAAGATGAATTGTTTGTTGTATTCCTCTTGTCAAGTAAGTAAATTTGGATAAAAAGCACCTGTTAAATTAATAAATGTAAAAAAAAAAAAAAAAAATCTTCTTTTGTGTTCCAAGAAAGTGATGGAGGTTTGAAACAACATGAGGGTAGGTAAATGTCTGTTTTTGTTTTGTTTGTTTTGTTCTTAAAAATAAATAAATAAAATAACAACAAAGAGAATGTTTGTACACATCAGTGCTAAGGCAACAGATAGGGGCAGATTGTAGCAATCACTGTAACTGCAGGGGGGCATGACACTTTTTTAATTGTTCCTGGCCATTCTCAGCTAACTGACATTACCCACATGAACCAAATAAGGACGCTGTAATGCAAGAAACATCCATTTCATTTATTTCAGTGTATATGTTATGCTATGCAATGAACCAAATTTGTATCATGGGTGTTAGCGTTCCTGTTATTTTAATTTATGTAATGAAACCTGTTTGAATTGTGCAAATGTGTGATCAGTATTTATCATACAAGTTGTTGAACAAATGAAATTTGAATGCACACACTATAAAACTGGCATTATTTTTTAAAAGATTCATACATTGGCTTGCTCTGTTGTTCTGAGCTCAGAGGCTCATGTTAAAGGGACAGCTCACCCAAAAATTAACAATTTGTCATAATTTACTCACCCCACAAATTGTTCCAAACCTGTATGAGTTTCTTTCTTTATTGAACACAAAAGAAGATATTTTGAAGAATGTCTATATCCAAACAGTTGATGGTAGCCATTGACTTTCATATTATTTTATTTTCCATACTATGGAAGTCAGTGGCTATCAGCAACTCTTTGGTTGCTGACATTATTCAACATCTTCTTTTGTGTTCAGCAGAAGAAAGAAACTCAGGTTTCGAACAACTTGAGGGTGAGTAAATGATAGAATTGTAATTTTTGAGTGAACCACCCCTTTAATCATACATCCCTTTAACCTTTATTTGTATGTTTACTTCTCAAGGCTAATGCAGTAACTCCTTGATTCAAAAGTCAGCCCAGGAAAAAACCAAAAACGCCTGGAATATTTGTGTCCAGACTGAAATAATGATTCTAAACAACAACATTTAATGTTTTTTATTGATATCCTTAGACAGCAATTCTTTACAGTTGTATTTCTGATTGACTCCTACTTGACATGTAACAATTAACCTCAGTTATGGTGAACAAGGACACAACTTGAGATACAGTGATTTTCTGAGACAAGTAGTTAGCCAGGAGGCCATCCCAACTGACGACCACCCAGAACGTGGATGTGAATGTGGTAAATGGACTGACCCCCATCAGGACCCTCATTGAGCACCAGTCGATATCCTCTGGGCAATCCCACCTGCTCAGCACACTTCTTAGCAACGATCATCAGGTGTCCAAGCAGCTGTGCCAATATAAAACAAACAATTATAATACATAATACTTAAAAAAACATCTAGTACAGACCTTAATCAGTAGGTCTAGTGGCATACAGTTTTCAAAAAAGTGTTATTTTTGTTCATGTTATTTTATTATAATTATTATTATTCCTCCTAAGAGACATCTAGTGGTTAGAGTTGCTTAATGTATAGAGACCAGTAAACCTATTTAACCACTCCCTGTTCGCTACTTTTTGGGTTGTGGCTATAAGGGATACAGCTCTGACCGGAAACTAACAATGAAATGAAATTTTCTACCTATTAGATTGTGTTCTATTAACGTCTACACCTACCCCAACCCTAAACCTACCCCTTACAATAATAAAAAAATAGTAATTATTGTTTTACAGTGTGACAAAAATTACGCTGTATTGATGCGCGCATGCCCAGTAGCGCCATATGTATCCCTTCTAGCCTTAACCTACTTTTTGGCACCCTGTTGAAAGCCTGTTTGGGCAGACATGCGTTGGTGTTTCCTAAAATGTAGCCCTGCAAGTACAGGCTTTTAAAATACTATGCAAGTGCCTGGATGTGGAATTTTGTCTCTTCTAAGTGATAAGATCCACCTATAATCAGTTTGAACATTGAACTGACTTGAGCTGAATAACAACACTATTGTCTTCTATAGAGCTCTAATTTGGAGCTACTTTACAGCAGAATTTAAATTTTTCATATATTTGAGGTTGTTTGCATCAACGATTTTGTTATTTTCCTGTTTAAAGGGTTACTCCACCCCAAAATGAAAATTGTGTCATTAATCACTTACCCCCATGTCGTTCCAAACCCGTAAAAGCTTCGTTCGTCTTCGGAACACAATTTAAGATATTTTGGATGAAATTTGACAGGCTTGTGACAGTGCAATTTACTTGGCAGTCAATGGGACAGTCAAGGTCCAGAAAAGTATGAAAGACATTGTCAGAATAGTCCATCTGCCATCAGTGGTTCAATCTGAATTTTATGAAGCAACGAGAATACTTTTTGTACGACTTTTTTCAACAATTCGTCTCCTCTATGTCTCTCCGCATCATCGTAGCGCCATTTTGGAGAACATCCGCTGAACTCAAACTGCGTACACAAGGATACGTTTTCTACGTGTATTTACGCTTTGATTTGAACGAAAACAGCGTATCCGTGCAGCGCGGCTGACACAGAAGAGCGTACGGTGCTTGCGTTCAGCGGATGTTCTCCAAAATGGCGCTACGGTGATGCAGAGAGACATAGAGGAGACGAATTGTTGAATAAAGTCGTTATTTTAGTTTTCTTCGCGTACAAAAAGTATTCTTGTCGCTTCATAAAATTCAGATTGAAACACTGATGGCAGATGGACTATTCTGACGATGTCTTTCATACTTTTCTGGACCTTGACAGTGCAATTTACTTGGCAGTCAATGGGACAGTCACAAGCCTCCCGCTTTTCATCCAAAATATCTTAAAATGTGTTCCGAAGACGAACAAAGCTTTTTAACCCTTTAAATGTACAGTATAACTCACCACAATTTTGTAATTTTTAAAAGCATAATAGTAATTTTGAGTTGTTTCCAAGGATAAGAGGCAGAATCACCATACAATAGGATGTGGCCTAGGTGATGGCAAATAGTTTTTTTTTTTCTCAGCTTAGTCTTTTCTCTGCTTGTGTTCCACATAGTGTTTGTTCTGATGGACACCAACAATCTAAAGTAAAGCATTTTACTAAAATTTTCATTTTGGGGTGGAGTATCCCTTTAAGGCTGCTTTGAACCTACCTGTATTATATAAAGAGCTATTTTTTAAATGGTGACTTGACTTAATGTGAGCTGATTGATAGGGTTCAGAACTGTTTATTAAATAATTTTTAAATGTCTATGGAGAAAGCAACGAAAATAATAATCAACAGATTCATGTGCACTAGATTCATTTGGGGGTCTGTGGCTTATGAAGCTTTAACTTCAAACACATTTAGTCACAAGTATCAGTTTAATACTGACCTTTTTATCAGCGTCCTCTGCTTTAGAGATCTGGGTAATGGGCTTTCTGGGGACCACCAGGAAATGAGTGGGAGCTTGAGGGGCCACATCATGGAAGGCAATACACTAATACACAAACAACCAGAATGTTATAAAACGGATAGTTCTGGTCCTTGATTCTGATTGGTTCGAAGATGTTGTAAATTACACTACAAACATACACCTTTGTTTACTTCTGTGTGTTGCTCGGCAACCACTTTGTTGGAACCACAACTGTTTCTGAGGAACTGTTTTTATTTATATCATTACACTTTATTTGCTCTGTTTTATTCTGGGAAACCTTACTACGTATATGGAATAACCGTTTTATAAAAGCAATAAGCCCCAAGAAGCCGTGGTTTACAGTGAATTTATAACAGCTAAGGGGGTTTTAGGCACTCCGCTTGCATCGTGCCTAACAACGCCCCTTAACTGTTATAAATTCACTGTAAACCACAGCTTCTTGGGGCTTAATGCTTTATTTAACAACGTGTATTATACATTCAACTAGGTTTATGAAATACATAAAAAGAAACATAAAAAGTGTACAGCTGCTGTGTAACTAAAACCATTAACATAATTTTGCTCTGGGTCTAACATATGTGCCATCGCAATGTACAACACAAAGTTGTGGAGAAATGTGTCAGTTCACATTCAAGTGCAGAACACGTGAACTAGCACTTAAATATGGCACATTTCCAAATATCCTCGATTTCAGCTGAACTACAGAACTCGAATTGAATTTGAAACTTAAATGGGTCATATGATGCGATTTCAATTTTTCCTTTCTCTTTGGAGTGTTACAAGCTCTTGGTGCATAAAGAAGATCTGTAAAGTTGCAAAGACTAAAGTCTAAAATCCAAATAGATATTCTTTATAAAAGTTAAGAGTCAACCAGCCTACCTAAAACAGCTCGTTCTAACACGCCCCCACATGTCTACGTCACGATGTGGGAAGATTTGCATAACGCCGCCCAAATGTTCATGCAAAGAAAGAAGGCGTAACTTTTATTAAAAAGAGGACGATATCCGCTTCGTCATGCCTGGAGCTGATCCGTGCTGGTCACTGAGGAAATACATCAACTTCATGCTGTGGATCGCCGGATCGGCTTTCACCGTGGACATAGCGGAGTCCAGCCCGTCGATGTGACGACCCGTCACATGTGGTTGCCGCAAGCCCACCGGATGCTCCTTCGTCAAATACGCCGGCCGCGCCGTTCTCAAGCCCGCCGCCCCTCACTCAAGGCCACGGTGTGTGATGCTGTTTCGTTGTGAAAGCGAAACTACTTTGTTTGGCCTTCCAAAAGAGGACACGACTAGAAATC